CTCAGCCTCCCGAGTAGCTGGAACTACAGGCATGCGCCACCATGCCTGGCTAATTTTTTCCACATATTTTTAGTTGTCCGGCTAATTTCTTTCTATCTTTAGTAGAGATGGGGTCTCGCTCTTGCTCAGGCTGGTCTCGAACTCCTGACCTCCAGCGATCCTCCCACCATGGCTTCCCAGAGTGCTAGGGTTACAGGCATGAGCCACCTCGCCTGGCCAGCTCAATCCACTCTTTAGAAAAGACAGGAAAAAGGGGAGGAAGACAGAAAATAAGTGAGACATAGAATGAATGGGGAGGGGGTAATGGAGAAACAAACAAAAGCAATGGAACTGAGCTCATGTCTAGTCATCTAGCAAGTGATGCAAATCTCAATTATCTCCTCTCATCAGTCCAAGGTCAAAGAGACCTTGAAGTCTCTTCCTTGGACCAGGAAGCATTAACTGGGGGTCTCCAGAGGCACAAAGAAGCACACCCTGAGATCCCTGCCTCTTTCAGTCAAGTGCACCTTTGTTCCGTGAGCCCAGAGGAAGAAGGCCGCTGGGCTCCCAGCAACACTGAGGGTCAGGCGTCATTATCCCCAACTCACAACCAGGGCCCATGAGGCCCAGAGAGACTGTATTGTCTAGTGCCGCACAGCTAGAAAGCAGCAGAGAGTCAAACCCAGGGTGGTGTGGCAACAAAACTCTCTCATTTTTTATTCCCTTGCACTGTTCCACAAGTATTTGCCGGGAAACCCAACAATAGCGATGATGGATTTAGGTGATAAGCTAGCTTCTCTCTCTGCCTCTGTGACCTGGTCACTTCCTCTAATCCCACCAAGAACTCTGAACATCTATTACGTTATTTGTTTTCAAAGCACCCCTGTGAAACCAACAAAGAAAGATATTATTACTACCATTTTGCAGGTGATTATACAATAATATAGGCAATTTTAGTGTCAGTGTTCAGTTTTATGACTGAGCTTTTATTGTGTATCAAGGAAATCACTGGCTTTTAAACCAAAATAAGTGAGGTCAAGAGTCTCGATCTTATGAAACCACAGGGAGCTGTGGTTTTTGCTGGTTCAATAAGGGCAGGAAGGCACACTCACCAGTCAGGAAGTCGGGGTCGGGGGTGGGCTCCGAGATCTCCTCCAGGCACTGGTTCTCCAGGGGGATGGTGGCCACCACGAGACCATCTGGCAGTTGCTGGTCTAAACCACGAGCAAAGTTGTTTTGCCTAGAAACGGGGCAGACCTTCAGCTCTGAGTGTTCAAGTGAACCCCACGTGTTGGCAGGCAATCTGTATTTCAACCCACAGTGTAAAAATTCTTTCTGGACCCAAAAGTTTCCCTTACCCTGAACCCTATTTGGTATACACGTCAAAAGTACAACGTATGGGTGTGGGAGGTCGGGTGAGGGCTGGGGGACATGAGAAACAAACCAGCTGAAAAGGTTTACTGAAAGGGTAGCAAATACTCTTCCCTCCCTCCCATCCCAGTCCCTACTCCCTGGCCCTCTCTCGACAAGATCTGGACACACT